TTTTGAAAATGGAAGAAAAGAGAGAAAAGAGATCAAAGATATACAAGAAAACTCATAAAAACAAATAAATGGCCTGAGAAATAAAATTAATGAAAAGAAAATCTAAATCGAAGCTTTATACAACAAGTGTTGGTAAGGATGTGGCAAAAAGGAAACCTCTTACTCTATTGGTGGGAATGCAGACTGTTCCTGCCCCTATGGAAAACAGTAGAGAAGTTTCTCAAAATATTCAAAATGTATCTACCACAATAATCAGCAACTCCCTTCCTAGGTATCTACCAGGAAGAACACAAAAACACTAATTTGGGGCCTCCCTGGTGGTGCAGAGGGTTAAGACGCAAACTATGAAGCTATCCACAGCCTCTGCAGCATGAGTTAGATCCCAGGCCAGCCAGGGAGGTGACCCACATGGAGCAGCAGACCTCTCCTGTCTTGCCCGCTACTCCCCTCAGCAGTGTATTTCAGTCAGTCTGCCTGTTTTGTTCCCCACTCTGTCTCTGGTGAATCCTCTCGCCTCCCACACCTCTGGCCTATACCCCAGTTCTTGTATGCATAAATAAATCTTTAAAAAAAAAAACACTAATTTGAAGGGAAATAGTCACTCCTATGTTTATTGCAGCACTATTTACAATGCCCAAGCTATTTTTGGTTGGGTTCTTCTTTGGTTGTTATCTAAGTACCCCAAAACAGATGAATGGGTCAAGAAGATGCTGTATACATACACTGTGGAATACTACTCAACTATGAGAAAAGGTAAACTCTTGACATTTGCTATAACATGGACAGAAATGGAGAGGGTTCTGCTAAGCAAAATAAGGAGAAAGACAAATATTGGTTGGTGTTGCTATATATGGAATATAGAACAAAACATACCCCAGAAATCCAACTGTAGAGTAGAGGCTATGGTGGTGGGAATAAGGAAGGGGTGAGAAAATGTGGGGAGGGATCACAACAGATGTTGATGGAGAACCATGGATGTGTTGGTGGTTGTAAAGCAATGCTACCTCAATATAAAATAATAAAATAAAAATAAAATACATTATACCTGCATAGTCTAATATCTATTTGATTGATAATGAGCCATATAAACATCATCTTTTAGTGTTTTATGGACTCTTTATGAGTTTTCAATGTCCTCAGCATATTCATCCAATCTGAAAAGTGACCCGATATAAGGAAAGTATCTTTTTGAAATAGTTTACAAAGAAAATGATACATACAATCTAGAACAGGTCATCCAGAATTACATGACAGCTTGAAATGTTTTTCCAGAATACTTATTTTCAAAACGTGTGTGTGTGTGCGTGCGCGCATGCATGTGCATGTGCATGTGTATGCTGGGGTGTTCTGTTTGAGTTTCTGGGTAAATATTGGAATGTTAACCTTGGAAAATGGGAAAAAGAAGAAAACCAACTATGTTTTCATTAAATTCTAGTCCATTGTAACAACCCATTAAGTGAGATCATAATGTTTATCATAGTCAGAGAATTCACCAAAATGGAGCTGCTATTCACCTTTCTGTACTATTCCACTGCAAATCATTTTACTTTATTCTTATTTTAATCCTCCTTCTGCATTTTTTTTCTTTCCCATTTAACAATGCCCTGACCTCTATTATCTTTTTTAAATTCTCCTATGTCATTTTCATTATCTATTTTTTTTTCCCTGGCTTTAATAACTCATGCTTATCTCCATGAGTTTTAACTATTAGAAACTTTTCTTTTCAGTGTCTATTGTGCTAGGAGAGTTTTTGACATTTTAAGCTCTGTCAGTCTTCTTTTGGTATACAAGTAGGGGTTCCATTAAATTACTTTCTTAATGTATTTGGAATTTAGTACAAGTGATAAATTTAAATTTACTTATAAATTTATTTATAAAGCTTAACTAATTTGAAATTAAGACCTACACTAAAGCAACTCAAAGGCAATTTTCTAATTTCCGTTTCTATTTTTCTCTTTTTTCTTTTTATTGCTGCATTGTCACATTGAGCTGTGTTGCTGTTTAATCAAATCGCTTTTTTTTCTGCCCCAAATACTGGCTTTCTGATGGTCATTGTGTCAGTCAGTGACTACTTGGCACATCATTTTCTCTGGAACCACAAGACATTTTTAGGACAAAATATATTAGATACCTCAGGCCCAGCATTATATGTTAAGATGCATATGATGGGTCCTCTCTGGTGGTGCAGGGGGTTAAGATGCAATCTATGAGGCTGTCTGAATTCGACCACTGCAGCACAAGTTCAATCCCCAGCCAGGGAGCAACCCATATGGCTCAGCAGACATCTCCTGGCTTGCCCGCTGCTCCCCTCAGCAGTGTATTTCAGTCAGTCTGCCTGTTCTGTTCCCCACTCTGTCCCTGGTGAATCTTCTCACCCATCCCACCCCCCACACCTCTGGCCTGTACCTCAGCTCTTGTATGCATAAATAAATTTAAAAAAATGCATATGATGTTTCCCTCATAGGAAGTGCTGGTATAAGTTTCTGTCTTAACCATATGAAAGATCTGATCAATCCATCTCACTGCTTTCCAACGACAAAGAAAAATATTGCACAGATATTTGTTTTATACACTGAATTACTGAGTCTACTCCAAAGAGAAGAGCATTTCCCTTTTGACTGGGAACTCTATAGAAAATGGGCTTTCTACCTATCATTTTAGATATCTGATAATTGGATGAATTTTCCAGACCATTTTCTGTCTCTACTTGTTTCTTCTCCATTATCCAGCAATCTGAGTGTGGTTGCCACTGGATACATGCTCATCACAACATGACCTCTGAGCCTGTATCATGTCAGTGTAGTATTCAGATCAGTGGAGGGGCATAGGATCCCCTAACTGGGACAGCTTGAAATGATTTAACCATGCACAAAAGTGACTGTAAACCCCATAAAAAAAATCCCACTAACCCAACTAAATGCATCCCCAATTTAACTTCCCTTTAAATGGGAGAAGGAAGGATAAAGGTGCAAAGCAAAAGTAGACAGAGACAGAAGTCTTGACCAATAGTACTTACAATATCTCTTTTTCATTTAGGGGGCATATTTTACAAGGAAATCTGAGTGGGTGAACACATTGCCAAGATTTTGAAAAAATTCCATGAGAGAGAGGGAAGCCCCAAAGAATGAGTTTTAATAGAGTCATAGTAAGTCAGTCTCTGCTCTCATGTCAGCCCCAAGTCAATGTTCCAGTGCATGGCCCAGATACCTCAATTCTCTGCTATGTCAAGGTACCCCATCCATGATGCCCTATTTGGGAGGGGATGTGATATTTGGGAGCCGATGTGACAGCTGCCTTCCAATCATTGCTATGTGTATTTATAAAGTAAAGGATGAATAACTTATCTTGGGGCAAAATAACCTAAATTAAATCAAATGAATTAAAGTGAAAGATAATTAGGGCCAAGTGTTGTAAAACTCCATTAGGCTATGGAAATGTCCCAAAGGAGATGCCATTACTCAGAACTGAGAAAGGAGCAAGATGACTGAGTATGTTCAGGTACCTGCACTGCGTTCCTCCTAGGGCTCCACAAGGGTGTCCAGGCACATACCTGTAGCTTCCCTTCCCTCACACCATGATTCTGTGGTAGTGGCATCTTGGCTTATGCAATGCTAAATTATAAGGACAAATTTCTTCATTAATATAATACTTAAATTCAATGACTATTGCATAAAGAGTTTCATTAAAGTCCTAATTAAAATGTGGTCATCTCATAAAATAGCCCAATTTTCCAGGTCAGCCAATCAATCTTGATACTACTCAAAGAAAAATGTTAAACTGGAAAGAAAGATGAGAGTTGGGGTAAAAATAATAACAAGTCTAATTTATTAATAGTGCTTTTCTTGGAACTCTAGGTTGAAAAGCATTTTAGGAAAATAATATCAGTATCTATTACTGATGTCTGCCTTGATGTAGACAAGCTATCAAGAGCTTGTCCACCATTTGTAAACGTCTCCTAGACCACAGTGACAGGAAAGAACATAGTGTAGACTCCCTGTGCCAGGGTCTGGCATGGGGTTTCTGCTCTTCCTGAAAAGGTTCCAGCAGTAGCAAGAGACTAGGAGCATATATTTTAGGTGCTCTACCTTAGGCTCATCAATTCAATAGTGTGTTATTTCACTTGACAGTCTTTCATTTGTGTTTTTCTCTCTCTATTAAGGTAGCTAAGGATGTCTGACAGTGGGAAACCCCCACTTTCTTTCTTCCAAGGCTTGGCAGGACACAGACAGAACAGGTAGAAATAGCATCTCATATCAGCAAAAAGTTGAACATCTCTGATCTTTTTCTCAGGGAATGTGATTAAATATATATTCAGGGCATGTGAACTTTCTTCTTTGCTTTACTTACTTCCTATGTTTGACCATAGGTCACAACAAGGGCTGATAGTTAGCAGGTATCAAGTGGGAGGATCTTCTCTCCTGCACAGACAGAAACAATTCCTGGTGTGGGGCTCTGGGCATTTGTTTTATTTATACATGGAGTGATTTGACTTGCCACAAGGCTGGTGTTGCTTTAGCAATAACTAAGATTTCACCAAATGAAAATGAAATTAAAAACAGCAAAATGGGGGCCTCCCTGGTGGCACAAGGGGTTAAACACCACAGTATGACACAATCCGCAGCCTCTGCAGCAAGAATTCGATCCCCGGCCAGCCAGGGAGCAACTCACATGGCACAGCAGACCTCTCCTGTCTCGCCCGCTGCTCCCCTCAGCAGTGTACTTTGGTGGGTCTGCCTGTTCTGTTCCCCACTCTGTCTCTGGTGAATCCTCTCACCACCCCCCCCACACCTCTGCCCTGTACTCCAGCTCTTGAATGCATAAAAAATTCATCTTTGAAAAAAAAAAGGCAAAATGGTCTCCTTAATCCTCAGAATCTCTTTATTTTCAGAGTTCCTGAGTAGATGCAACTATTCCTCTAGTCTCCTGCTGGATGTGTACATATACATATAGGTCTTTGTAAGGTGTCTGCATCTGCATCATTTTCCAATATTTCAAAAGGAGTGTTCACTTTGGCAGCACATTTGCTAAAACTGGAATGATACAAAGAAGACCAGCATGGCCCCTACTCAAGGATGGCACCCAAAATTTCAAAAGGCAATCTCAAAGTTTTCATGTAAAGCTCTTAGCATAGTGACCAGCACATGGAAAGTATTAGGTACAGTTAACTATTAATATAATTATTATAGTTTTTGGTGTGTTAAGTACTACCATACTAGAGTATATAGTACTAGGTTCCTAAATTTCATATGCACAGCCACATTCGTACATTATAGGGGGAAAGCCAATGTTCTAGGTCAAAGCAGTTAGAACAGAGAATCTCTCTTATTCTGGAGACAATTAGCTTTTTTGATCTATTTAGGCTTTCAACTCTCTGGATGAGACTCACCTATATAATGGAGGACAAGTTACTCAATCTACCAATTTAAAGATAAATATCATCCAAAACACCCTCGTGAGGGCCCAGAAATAAACCCATATATACGTGGACACTTAATTTATGATATGAAGCCAAGAGCATACAAGCCAAAGAGCATATTGAAGAAAAAATCTCTTCAATAAATGGTGTCGGGAAAACTGGAGAGCCACATGCCAAAGAATGAAACTAGGCTACTATCTCACGTCATGTACAAAAATTAATTCAAAATGGACTAAAGACTTGAATCTAAGACCTGAAATCATAAAACACATAGAAGAAAATGTGGGCAGAAAACTCTCCAAAATCACCCTTTAACAATGTCTTTATGCACTCATCTCCAACAGCAAGGGAAAACAAAAGAGAAAGAAACAAGTGGCATCACATTAAACTAAAAAGCTTCTGCACGGTGAAAGAAATTGTCTTTCAAACAACAAGGTAACCTACTGAATGGAAGAAAATGTTTGCAAATCATGCATCTGATGTGAGAGTCATATCCAAAACATATAAAAACTCATACAACCCAACAACAAAAATGGACAGAGGATCTTAATAGATAGTTCTCCAAAGAAAACACACTGATGGCCAACAAACACATGAAAAGACACCTCATCATCATTTATTATTAGGTAAATGCCAATGAAAACCACAATGAGAAATCACCTCAGACCAGTTAGAAGAACTACTGTCAAGATGACAAGCAACAGGTGTTGTTGAGGATGTGGGAAAGGGAACCCTCATAATGTAAACTGGTGCAGCCACTATGGAAAATCCTATGAAGATTTTACAAAAATTAAGAATATAAATCCAGCTATCCCACTTCTGGATATTTATCTGGAGAACACAAAAACATGAATTTGCAAAGATACATGCACCCCTATGGTCGTTGCAGCACTATTTACAACAGCTAAGTTATGGCAGCAGCTTCTGTGCTCATTGACAGATGAGCAGCTAGAGAAGATGTGGTATATATACCCAATGGACTACTACTCAGTTCTCCATATAAAAAAGGACCCTGGTGGTGCAGCGGTTGAGCACTGGGCCGCGAAGCTGCCCGCAGCCTCTGCAGCAAAGGTTCGATCCCCGGCCGCTAGCGAGGGTCCCACATGGCGCAGCAGACCTTTCCTGCCACCTGCTGCTCCCCTCAGCAATGTGTTTCGTCAGTCTGTCTGTTCTATTCCCTGCTCTGGCTCTGGTGAATCCTCTCACCCTCCCACGCTTCTGACTGTACCCAGTGCTTGTATAAATAAATGAATCTTTTAAAAAAATAAAATAAAATAAAATAAATAAAAAAGAATGCAAGCCTGACATTTGCAGCAACAGAGAACACCAATAGTTACACAATTCAGAGTTTCCATGAAAAAACAACCCACTTATTCAGGCCCAGTACTGGAAGAAGGCATCACGTGGCCTTCTACAATATCTTTACAGTAAAGGAGGAGGGGAGCTTTGCAAGGCTGTTATTATTTTATCTATACAAGCTAAAGATATTGGGTCAAACCACATTTCACAAAGAGTAATCCCGCAAGGGGTCCAATGAGATGCATTCCTGCCACTGATTATAAACCACAGTACTTGACCTGGTCTAACCCGGCAGTGGAACACAGAGAATCTAAAGAAAAGGATTGTTTGTACATTCTTCAGGAAAAACTCCATGCAGGGTCTTTTTAAAATTTCTACATATATTGTTATCTACCTATACTAAGTGACATTCTGGAACATTCCTAATCCAGAAATATGGCCATTTGAACTAAAATAAACCCTGTCCCTTTTACAAATATAACATATAACCAAAAATTGTAAACACATAGCCAGTAGTAAAAGAACAAATGAACCTTCTCTAACTACCACCAACAGCAAGAAAGGTCTGTGGTAAGCTTACAAGCTGCATCTAGTACCCACAGATATGTCAAACATGATTTTAGGCCCCTCAGGGCCAGGATTTAATATTCCAAGAAGGGCATTTTGATGTGGTCTTAGTCCTCTGTAGAGTAAAGAGCTGAAACTGGGCAATGCTTTATACAGCCAAGCCGCTGGACAGACATGCTAGAAAAGCTCTACAATCTGGTCTCTGGAAAAGGCTCTGATTTAAAAATAAAAATCAAATAAATGCACACTAAATGTCCTCCTGTGAGAAATGCAATCCCAATCCTAAGTCACTCACAAGTGTAGAGTCCTAATTTATGGGACCATAAACTGCAAAATTAACACAGAGATGTTTTCCACACTAGTGAAACTCATGGAACATTTGGCAAAAGAAAATGCATAGCAAGTCTGCTGGCACATTTCCCTAACCAGGCTCATGGACACCCTCAGAAACAAACAATCTTGGTTGAAGATGAGCTCACAGCAGAAAGTTACAAACCACAAAAGAATATGAATCACCACAAGGGGAAAGTCAGCAGATATAAATATACAGGAAAATATGTACTCCCTGCCAAACTGAAATATTAGGAAAGGATATATAATTACTATGTTTAAATAATTAAAAAGTTTAAAGAGGGAATGGAAACCATATGAAAGATCAGGACACTAGAGAAAGGAAAATCTAAACAGATCTAAAAGTGATATACAGTTATTGAAGTTGGAAACCTAAAATGTGGGTTAAAAAATAAATCAGATATAATTAAGGAGAAGAAATACCTAAAAGAATACCTCAGAATACAGCTCAGAGATAAAACAATTCGAAGATAGCAAATGACAGTGAGTTCAAGATCATATTTAACTTTAAAAATACATAGCACTTACTTTGGGCAGACACTGTACTGGGCCTTTTATAAATAGCATCTCACTTAATCCTCATGTCAGTGCTTCTTTCTGTTGTCACTTCTCTCTGATGCACCATCTATATACCACCCATCAAATCACACTAATGATTTTGTTTCCCAACATAAAAAAAATCCTTTCTTGATCTTTTAGTCTCTGTGGGTTTTACCAAACCCAACATTTTGCCTTTCTCACACCAAATTTATAAAATATTTCTACAAAGCATCTTGACTTCCTCTCTGTTATATTCTCTTCAACTCACTCATCCCTCATCTAGAATATACTGTACTGCACTGAGAACACTGCTCTGAGCTGCATCTTCGTATCTGAGACAGCCTGCTTGCTATCCCAAATTTAACTTACATAAAACTGAACTTTTGATTCCCTTGTCTCCCTCATTTTCATTACAAAAACATAAAAATATATAAAAGTAAATTACCTCCCTGAAAGATGAGGTATTTCTCCAGCAGAAATAGTTTTATCAAGTAAAGTTAATCACCAGTGACGTGACAAATAGGTATTTTGCTACTCCTAATAGAACAACACTTCTGTGGTATTCCTGCCAAAAATGTATAACCTGAATCTAATCATAAGGATATATCAGACAAGCCTGTGCTCTTTAAAATGTCACAAAGCATACAGTGTTGTAGGATGATGAAGTTTTAATTCTTCCCTATTAAATGGATTCAGTTAAATATCTTTAATATCAGAAAAAATTATTTCTGTTTTACTTTTCTTGCCCAAATACAACAACTGTTCAAGCTGTTTAATAATTAATGCACAACGCAACTGAGAGAGCATACACAACAAATGCATCAGTTACACCGCCTCAGAAGAAACCGGAGAATTGGCCAGGAAACTTCCACAGAGCCTGCCAAAGTTCCAAAACAGGCACTGCTGGTCCTCCCAACTTTCAAAACTCTCTTTCCCCAGCACTCAAATTCTCTGCTTTTATAAATAAGTCTGTTTACTGATGTTTGCGACATGAAGTTCTTGCTTCAAAGACGCAGTATTCATTTGTTTAACTGATTTTTCTTAAATGTTAGGTATTTTCTATTTTATTTTTACATCATTGTTCATTTTTGTATAATGTCTTTAACCGATCTTAACAAAAACACTACAGAGTTTCTGTATTTTTACACTCAATCCCCTTGGACACCTATAATTAATGAACAACTGAGATTGCAGTTCTAGTAACAAACTCACTAATGGCCACTAATTTGCTGGAAATGAATGGCTTGGACCATTAACTACACAGGACAGTTAGTCCAGGATTTGCACCTGTTGTCCACATGTAATCATTGATAGTTTTCCTTTCTTTCTTCAAAAATGTTATTTGATCAATAAATTAACATGGTCACCCTACATAAGGTCTCCTCTCAGCCTAGTGTTCTAGAATTCTTAGTACATAGATGATAACACTCCTCAAGTAGCACCTGCACCACATAAAAATTGCAATATCCATGCTATTGTTTGTCAATGCATTGCCATGCTGTATTCATTTCCTGTGGCTGCTGGGTGACTTAACACAATAGAAATGTATTCATTCACAGTTCTAGAGGACAGAAACCTAAAAGGTTTAGGTTTTGGTTTCCCTTTATGGCTGTAGGGGCAAATCGTTACTTGTCTGCCAGCATCTGCTGCCCAGCAGTTGGAATTCCTTAGTGTTCCCTGACTGTATCCCAGTCATCCCACGCTCTGCCTCCTCCTCATGGCCCTCTCCTCATCCATCTGTGTAACCTCCTTCTGCTTCACCCTTAGAAGGACACTTGTTATTGAATTTAGGTGCCTCCAGACTAGTACAAGAAAAGGATCTCGGGCCTCCTTGGTGGTGCAGGTGGTTGAGTACCCCACTGTGAAGCTGTCCGCAGCCTCTGCAGTATGGGTTTGATCCCGGCCGGCAGGTGAGAATTCCACATGGTGCAGCAGA